AAAACCGACAAGGTCAAGTTGGTTCTCTTCCTCAGCCTGCACAATGGTCCTCTGTCTCATTATTATTGCTTATTGCCAATACTGCCCCTCTATTGTCCTCCTTCTCACTCTCTCTCCCTCCAAAACACACTGCTAATTAATGAATAATTTGTCTGCGTTACGTCTTGTCTCTAATTAAACCCTAATTATGTCAAGCCAAGCAAAGATGCTTCGAGACGAAATTATTCTGCCGGGATTTGTAACCTTCGTATATAGTTGATCTAACGATTACATAATCCTCCACGGAATGATGGATATATAACTAAGTCTGCTGCTAATCTGTCCAAATGTGGGGATCTTATAAATCTAAAAATGTCTAAACAGATAAGGGTGCAGGAAGCTAAACAGGTTTAGTCCACGTCTTAAGTCAAATACTTCAAAACCAAAAACAATTACTTTAATTACCAGAAATTAAAATAAAAAATAAAAAAAAAAAAGAGAGAGAGAGAAAAGTGATACTATAGAGGAGTATATGATATGATGATGGTCCACAGCACAGCAGAACATTATGGCACTTTTTATTGTGTGTATTTATGCGTGTCAGATTCTCCTCTTTCCGTCTTTATTACTTTGGCCGGTCCCTCTCTCTCTCTCTTTTCACACACGCAGACGCAGCACACCAGTGAGTGAGTGAGTTTACTGATGATGGGCGGGTTTAATTCTAATCTAATTTTTAAGTACATTATTAGGGTTAATTGGCCATTAGTTAAGTAATTAATCAGCGCCTGTCGTTAGATTTTTCTTGTAGCCAAATGGCAATTTAGTAAACCTATACAGTACCGTCACATCAAGATGAAGGCCATGATAAGAAGTAGCCAGTTAATGCATCTGCTATCTATCGTGGAATTGCGTGGTAGTCAACGGGTCGGGTCGTCATTGTTCATGGGAATGCTAAGGTCTTGTTACGAAACCATTTCGTTAGGGTTTTGTAGCCGTTAGATCAATTATTCTCGACAATTGAATGATAGTTTAACAGTTACAAACTCCGACGAAATAATTACATAACGGGACCGTAGATCACTAGATCTCCCTACCACTTATAGGTCATGTGCACGATGTTAGAGTCTATTTCTAAAACTTCTGGGAAATTTGACATAATAATGTGAATGCTAGCATACATTGTAGGTTTTTTAGTTAGTTGTAATAAGTATATGTTAATTCACTCTCACGGTCTGACCTAGATTTTGAGTTAAATTGGTTAATGTGTTTTTGCATATGAATTGATTAATATGATTTGGTGATGGGTCCAATACTTTTATTCTTGTCAATATCATGATACCATTCGCTATTAAGATGCTCAAATGGTAAAGGCATCATCATATCGTAATTGTATCGTATGTGTATATTAACGATTTAAGTGTATTTATTTATTCATATTCCAATTCATGATACGAAAATTGTCACATGTGAATCCCTTGTAGTGTTGGTGTTTTTAGTCTTTCGACCAAACAAATACTAGTGTGATATTTGTGTTGGGTTCTATTAGAAACGTCGTCAATATATTCACATCCGAATCTAGCGAATTAAATCCTATCCCGACGGAATCTATAGTTTGGACTAAGACATTACCGTTTAAAATTTTGTCGACTCTGACACGTCGTATATTTTCTTCATAGGATATCTTCTGAACCGCAGAGTCCGTTGGGCAGCCAGACTAGATCACCGGGATGTGGTCGGGTCGCGATCGGGTCACTGGGGATCGTTGTGCATTGGGCGTTGTCCGAGTACGCGTCACGTCAGGTCGCTGCGGGTCGTTGGGCGTGCAGGTCGTGCGTCGGGCTATGCAGGTCGCTTGCGTGCAGGTCTGCATCCGTGTGTGTGCATCTGCGTGTGGGCATGCGCGTCAACATGTGGGCGTCTGCGTGCTAGCGTGTGCGTCGGGGCATGTGGACTTTCATGCGCCGCCTGCATCCGAGAACGTCGGGTCTCCTGGGAGTAGAAGGAGCTGCGCGCAAAGAACTCGGAGCCTGGGCGTTGCGCGGCTGCAGGTATGGTCGCTTGGAAGTATGTCATCCTATTAAAATAAGAATAACACTGCGTAAATCAAATAAACAAGTAATAAGTATATATACTCATTTATTATCTTACGATTTAAGAGTACGCATCAGTTACTGAGGTCTAAATTATTTAGTCAGTCAGTATTCAAATAATATTATCCTCTGCGGTCCATTCAATACTTACAAAGTACTAGTGTAATTCACCAGTCAAAAATTAATTGAATCAAAAAGGGCAATCATAAATTCATAATCATCATATCATAATGAGTCAAAACATATCATGTTCAACAACGTAACATTTAAGTTCAAAACCAATCCTCAGGTTTATCAATAAATTCAAAACATCATTGTTTGAAAAATGCCAACAAGTTCATCATGAAAGCAGAAGCAATACTTACTAATATGTAATGACCAGCCACTCGTCTCCTGATCGCCATGCTTGCCACCTGCTCAACCTGGAATGGGGGGCATGGAAGTGAGCACAACCACTTGCTCATTACATGCGCATAAATCACATACGAAGACAGATAGGTATGGTCGCAGCATGAGCATGAATCAATCATAATATCACATCTCCTAATCATATAATACTCATGTGCACATTTCTATAAATCCAATGAAGGTTTAAACATCATCCAACAGTGGGAGTACATGCCGAATGTCTAAATAGCATCCAACGGCGTGGCCTATCATTAGGCTACAGGAGATTGCCTCTCAGTATCAGGCATCGTCGTAAGTCTAAACAACATCCTACTATGGGGATAACCGTTCAAAGGACTAAACAACATCCATCGAAGGTTACATGGTTCACATGCATAAACTGATCATACCATACAACAATTTATGGCATAGATATTTAAATTAACTCACATGAAAATCGAGGTAGAATATCACACTAAAATAGCAAGTACGTAGGTCGAGGGCTCGACTCCTCGAACACCTACATTTGAGCGAGATAATACATCAATAATCTATCTTACTACTCGAATTTAATATAAAACACACACTTAGTCATAATTAAGGTTTAAGGATTTTAACAGGGATTTTTCGTGGACTTGGAATTCTCAAAATTTTAAAATAATAATACTCAGAGAACAAAAATAGAGTCTCGGGACCTAAAATATTTATTCCCAATTTTTTCTCATTTTATAAATACTTTTAAAATTGAGATCGACACTAAAAACGGGCTTCTAGAACTCAAAATTGGCAAAAAAGCCAATGGGCCGCGCTGGCCGTTGAACACAAAATTCTGCCCGTGAGATGGGCCTGGGGTGCGCGGATTTGGGCTGGAAAAGGTTTGGCCCAAGGCTTAAAGGGTTGCTGGCTATGCGGGCTAGAATTTGGGCCGTACGCGGACTGGGAAGATGCCTGACAAAGGGTCGCGCGCGGGCTGAAAGCGGACCGAACGTGGCCCGCGCATTCTCTTCCTCCTAGCTTGGCCGGTGCATTTGGGCCTCCTAAATCAACTGGCTGATGGTAAGTTTAGGGGGCGAAAGGAAAAAAATTCTTCTGGGCTGCGAATAATGTCAAAGGCTTCAGAAAAGGACTGAGGAATGCACTGGGGAAATAGAGAAAAATTTCACGCCGGTGTGCAGAAACTCATCTTCCCTGCTACAGATTTTCGACATCCTGCGAACACGAACAGAGGTCCAAAGGTTTAATGAAAACTAAAAAAAATAAAACATTTTCTAAGTGTTCGAAACTTATATAAAAACTGGGTTTTTGCTTGAAAACAAAACGACGGGAATAAGGCTCGAAAATGAACGAGCGTCAAACGACGACGACTCGGCTAACAAAATGAGGCTCAGAAATTCGTACAAAAATCCACAAACTGAGACTCGACTATATCACGATTTAAAACATAACAATAACGCCTAAGATAGTTCCAAAATTCCACCACATTGAAAAATTGATGCCACATGCCATAATATAATTGACAATGTCTAATGCATGTCAAATGAGTGTACGTGACATTGGCGTAAAATTTGTGTGCAACTTCAATGCACTTATTTTGGTACTCAATGTCTTGGCCATTTAAAATTAACTTTAACTGAATGACTTAAATGTAGCTTCAACTTCAATGCACTTATTTTAATACAAACAATTAAAAGTACGAGACGTTTGTACTCGACAGGTATTTTTATAAAATTTTATATTATTCTTATTAAAAAAATTTAGTTTAAATTATTTATCTATTTTTCATAATTTATACTTTACAAATTAAATTAATTATAAATGTTCTTTTGAATTTTATAAATTTTTTTATCTTAATTTTTGTACATAAAAATTAAATCTAATAATAGTGAAATTAATTATAAAATATTTTAAAAAACATGCGCAAAGAATAATAACACACAAACATTCTTCATAATGAATAAATAAATAAATAACAACATGTTTGTAGAATATTTTTATTTCATTTTCTACAACAACAAATTAAATCTAATAATAGTGAA